AAAGCGTTGTAGCCCAAATGACATTTCCATTTTATTCAAACACCACAATCGTACATAATGATACAAAGAACACCATGTAACTTTCTTGCTTAGTAAATCAGCCATTAGAAGAACCGGCTAAAGTCCCTTTGTCCTCAGAGACAGCTGTGAACTTGAATTCTATCTGTGTTGTGCCCTCTATCCATTTAGACTTTTCTTTTATATAAATATCCATCACTGATGCCATACCAGAGAGTTGCAAACTCTTCATCTTCATAAAGTCAGGATCTTATTATAATTCTCCTGGAGGTTTTGGTTTAGGGGAGAGGCTGGCAGACGTTTCTGAGGTTTGTCTATGCTGCTACATCAGCTCTTGCCCACTCATTTCCTGTGGCTTTGTGTGACTGTCCACTTCCTGTTGATGGGCACCAAGGCTTGCTTCCATTGTCTTGGCAAAAAACAGTGTTGTTCTGAACATTTTGCATGGTGGATGACTTCTTTATCGAGTAAGGGACTCTCTAGTGGAAAGCTAGCTCTGCGTTTAGCTGCCGCATGCTTCATTTGCAGGCCTGAGAACTCCCAGCACTTGCAACTTTTCCTGAGAGTGATCTCACCCTGTGGCAGTGTAAGCCTGTTGCCCCCGAATGTGGGGCCGGCTGGAAGCACATGAGCTGGGCACGCTCCTTGGTGGCCTACACTAAAACAGTCTTCAAGACCTTTTTGATCTTCCATGTGTTAACGCTGTGCTGGCAGGAAAAGCTGTAGGAGGGAGATCAGGAGGGAATCAGAATGAAAATGTTTTCCTGAGGCCTTGAACAGAGCCCGGCTGTCTCCGGCAAGCAGTCTTGGCTGAGTTGGAGGAGATCCGGCCACCTGAAAGAGCAGTGATCCAAGAGAAGAGCGAGACAGACATAGTCCGAGGGATCTGGAGGGGAGGGGCCCCCGAGCGTCCAAGTGGCCTCTTCTTTGGTGGCTCCTCCTCCAGGATGGCGTGGACAGTGCCAGCTCAATGTAGAAGTTAAGTGCACATAGAACTCAGATCCTCTCGCCTGCAAGTGCTGGAACCACTGAGCTAAATCCCCGGCCCTTAATTGTGCTATTGAAGCATAAGTTTTCGTTCTCATTAAGCTGCCATAGTGCTATTGTCCTTATTGTAAACACAGATAAGAAAATTTCAGAATGGCTAATTAGTTTAACCAAGGGCCGGGAGTAGCAGAACCAAACTGCGACCCAGCTGGGTCCCAAAGCCCCTGTTCTCCCCACAGCACCATCCTCCTTTTCCCATAGAATCATGGAAAAGGCGGGGAGGCTCCCTCAGCTTGAGGTCAGTTTAACATCGTAGGACGACTGTAGTTAATGCTAATGTCATGCATATTTCAAAGTAACTAAAAGAGGGTTTCACATGTTCTCACTGTAAAGAATTGTTAGATATTTGGAGTGACAGGTATGCTAATTATCCTGACTCAGTCATCTACAATGTACACACGTATCAAAGCATCTCATTGCATTGCATTAATACACACAGTTACTTGTCAAGGAACAATAAAGCAGGCCTCAGGGAACCAGGAAGACAAGTCAATTTGTCAGCAGTGTAAATTGTATCATTTCATTCATTTGTTTCCAGTTTCTCTTTAAAGAGATTTTTCTCAAGGATGGGAGGAAGAGATTTCTGATCCTTAGTCAAATAAATGAATTCTCGCACCTCATTCCACATTTCCTGCTCCAGAGTCCTGGTTTACCAGAGTGTTACACTATTTTTTATGCATCTATCAATTTCGGGCAAAACATGAAATCATTCATGAAAAGGTTAACTCTGAATCTTCCCTCACCTTTCTTAGAGGTCCCTGGGAATAACATAAGAAATTCTTCTTTCATTAACCCTCATCAGAGGTGTGGGGAGTGGGTCTGGGTAGGTTTGTAAATTGGCACAGAGCTCTTGTGTACAGTAGAAATTTATAATCACAGCTACGTTTCTAACCAGGCTTGGAAATTAATTTCTTAAGCCTCTCTCAGCCATAAGAATTACTGGTTGCTAAGGATCTATAGTGAAAAGCTGGAAAACCCTCCGTAAGGAAATTGCATGCCAAATTTGAGGGTCAACTACTAAACAACTGACTCAAATGTGAAAGAAATAAAGAATCCAGCTGGATGTTTAGTGCGTACTTAAGTAGAAACTTCCGGCACGTAACACTTTTGGCAAGTAAGGAGAGGTTTCACATGATCCTGTCATAAGCTGTTGTTTTCATCTGTGAGTCTGCTTGTGGAACAGGGTTCAGGGTGCCCAGACTGGGAATCACCAGGGAGACTCCGGGGAGGTTTCTGGAAGCTTCCGTTTTATTGAAGAAATGTACAGACTTATATAGGGTAAGATGGGGGTGGAGCCAGGGTGGCGCTACTGGTTCGCTATTGGATAGGGTAAGGCAGGGGTGGAGCCAGGGTGGAGTCGGGATATTTGGCACATTGTTATTGGCCACATGCTAGTTTTTGGATTGTGTGCTTTAGGGACTGAGGTGAGCAGAGTCAGGACTTTAGAGGTTCTTGAGAGAAACATTTTATCTGTCTAAGGTCAGATCTCTACACACCTGAAGGGGCAGATTATTCCAGCCCTAATAGGCCTCAGGTTTTTCTCACGAGAGATGGGTGCGGCGCTCCTGACTAAGCCAGACATTAACCACACTTGTGCTTTCTTTCTCTTCCTGTTTACAGCCAAGACAGAAGATCTACTTCTTCAACTGCAAGGTCGACAAGTTTCATTCCTTTTCATTTTAGAACATTTCGAGTTGGCACATTTTCAGGGAATTGTCTGTCCCTCCAAATGCTGGGGCAAGAGCTATGATGTATTTTAACAAAGTATAGGCAACTCCTCTTGGGCTTCTCCATCATGAACAGCACTGCCAAGAAATCAGAGACTTTCTGGGTAAATCACAGATGGTTTGCCAAGCATTTATGTTTGAGGGCCAAGTCACGTACATGCCTTCTTGTGTGATAAAACTGCCAGAGCTAAAATGCTAATATCGAGAGACAAAAAAGTAGAGAATCGATAGTAAATAATCACTGTTTTTGTATTTGTGTGGCATTTAACGAAGCAGCTCCCGAGCTCTTCGCTTGCCGTGTAGTGGGCATTGCGCGTGTATGGTGAGGTCCCACAAGGAGGCCACCACTGGCTGTGGGTTGAGTTTCTCCCTGTTGGGGCTTCACTGTGCTTCGCTGTAAGATTCAGCCAGGTTCTGCCGCTGAGCAACATGCTTTCCTAGTCCATTTCTGTTTCTGAACCGGCTTTGTGTCCAGATTTTGGTAGAAGCATGACATCTCAGTATCAGAAATCAGTCCCAGACTCCCATTCCCTTCCCTTTCTCAGAAAGAGATAATATCAGAGCAAGGTAAAGCGAGACTTTGGAGTAACCCAGCATCACTGTTATTATCAAGATTAGAATTTCAGGGGATGTGTTTGGCCCAATCATGCACCCACCCTCGCTTGTTATTCGCATCCTGGTGCTTCTGCACCAAGGACTTCACAGATGCCCAAATGGTGGAGTCTGGGGAATTTGGTTCCTTTTCCACATTTTTTTTACCCGCAGATTTTTCTCAGGTCTGTGGATAATTTTGGTCCTTTCAGGACGTTAAGAAAGATATCCACATAGCAGCTCTTTTTGCCCCTTCTGCCCTCACCACCATGACACCGTGTGGGTTTTGGCACCCTTCCTGCCTGGGTGGGTGGACTAGGCTGTCAGATTCCCCAAAATCAGTTCTCAACATGGAAGTCAGATCAATGCTGTTGAGATTGGGAGATCAAATTATTTCTTTGCTCCAAACCTTATAAACACCCCTATTTCCTCAGGGAAAAACAAACAAACAAACAAAACCCTCACTCTTTGAGATAACCTGCACGTCTGGCCATACGATTACTCTGATCTCTCCTACTATTCCCCCGCTGACTTCCGCTGCTCTGGTCATGCTGGCCATGTGGCTGTCCCCTCCACAGGGCCCTCCCCTCCTCAGCCCCTTTAGGGCGCACATGCGTCACCCTCTCGAGGCTGCCTGTGTCACCCCGCTGAAGCCAAGTGCGTCCTCTTCCCCCTCAGGACCTGGCATCTCTTCCACCACCTCAGAACCCTGTGTCCCCTTGGCCCATTCTGCCTGATGGGCTTTTTCTTATCCTTCGTCACTACAAAGTAATGCATCTGTGACTTGTCTTTGGTGTTTGTTCTTTGTACTCCTCAATTTGCACATAAACTTCATGAGCCGGAAAGCACCCCTGCCTTTCTGCTCAGTCCAGCGAACTTGAAAGGTGACTGGCAGCTGCTGGGTCTTGTATTTATTTGTTGAATAACTTAAATGAAAATGATGGCCAAGGTGTTAATAGTAGTAATCACAGCATTTTTTTTTCCTGAACATTTAGCCTGTGGCCACTGGTGTGTGTGTGTGTGTGTGTGTGTGTGTGTGTGTGTGTGTGTGTGTGTGTCTCACCTCGTCCAGTGTTCCTGGGGAGTTTACAAAGCAGTACGGTGAAGCCACCCAGTTATAGGAAAAGACACCGAGGGCAAGAGATACAGAAGGAAATAAAGCCTCACAGCCAGTATTACTCAGAATTTAGATGGAAAGACAGTAAGTCCGAGTCTTGAGGACTATGTTCAAGCCAAAAATTGTTGCTTCTATATCACTTATATATCGAGATTGTGTGGGATTTAATTTGGAAAAGGAGATTTTTCCCATGTCAATGTTTTTCCGTAATTACTGTCCTGGGTATTTAAAATCAAATCAAAGTCTTAGGGTGGCAATTCAGGGCTGATAGATTTCCATGTGTTTGTATTCTCCGATAATTGAATTATGCCTCCCACCCCTTGCCGGTTGGTTTTGCCAAAGGTAAAGTAAGTACCTTTAGAAAACTTAGGAACTTTCTTCTACTCTTTTAAAAAAATGAAACCTTCCCCTTGGATTTGCCATTTCACTGTTTGTGTTTTTCTCTGGGTTTGCATCTTCAGCCTGTCGTAGTTCAAAGCCTGCCCAATTCTCTCTCCTAGGAGAATGGCATCAACCTGACCCACATCGAATCCAGACCGTCCCTTCTAAACAAAGATGAGTACGAGTTTTTCACCCACCTGGACAAGCAGAGTGTGCCCGCCCTGTCCAGCATCATCCAGATCCTGAGGCATGACATCGGCGCCACCGTCCACGAGCTCTCGCGAGACAAGAAGAAAGACACCGGTAAGGATGGGAGGGGTCTTGCAGGGGCGCCTCATGAAACAGTAACGCAAGTGATGCCTGCCCTGGGCTATTGTTGGTGGGAGAAGAGGGAGGATGTGGGTAGGTCAGGGACCCAGACAGAACCCTGGCAAACCATAGGCTTCGTAAACTAGTTCTCCCCTCACTTATCCAAGACAGCTGTTTCATACCTTAGTAGTTTCCATTGTGCTGCTGAAATTTCTATTTACGTTTTGTTACCTGTGTCGGCTTACTGTGAATCTTCTGTCTCCAGAGGGGTGATGTCTGGGGCACTTTCTCCTTAAATGCAAATTCAGGGCAAGATGCCTCTTGTCTCCACTCCAGGCAGAGGGCTGCCCCAAGCACTTCTCCTAGATGGCCAGTGCTACAGCTAGGGTGCCTGGTTCCTTGATCTAGGACTGTCACTGCTGTGGTCTCATCTGCCTCTTCCATTGCGTTGCAAGCATCTTGGGGCCAGGGGGTCTCTTATCTGTATTTACATCCGCAGTTTAGCACCAGGCTTGTCAAACAGCAAATATTTGGGAGTGACCTCACATAGGCGTTGTCAAGACCGCAGTGAGGTGCTCCTGCTGCCTCTCCCTGGAGAGCGGGGCTGCAGAGTGGAAGAATTATAAGTGTGGGCCTGGGGCTGGGTAGACTTGGGTTCAAGTCCTGCTTCCACTGCTTAGTGACTCAGAGGCCCCCGATAAGTAATTGCTAGTCCCAGTGCATTTGTGCGGATTAAGTCAGCTCTCATATACATGGCGTTTGGAACAGGGGCCGGCTGAAGGACAGTACGGTGTCGTTACGATTACGATCAGCCCCGAAAGACGAGAGAGAAACAGGCGATGACTTTTGAAGGTCCAAAGTATATTCAGATGCACAAGGTTTCATAGACTTTAGTTCAGAGCAGTATTAGATTACAGAAAACTTGCACAGAAAGTGCAGAGGATTCCTGCGTCTTCTCGCTCTTCCTGCACCATTTTTCCAGTTAACACATCCTGCGAGAGCTGGACCTTCTTGTGATCGAAGGGCCAACACTGAACTGAGTAAAGCGTGTAATGCACATTTAGGAGCATGTTCCACTGGTGGTGACAAGAGCGTGAGGTCACACGTCTGCTTCAGGCTCTCGAGAGAATGCTTCCACCGCTCTCCAGGTACCCGCCGGTCCTCCTTCCTCTTTCACTGCCTCTTCCCAGCAGCCATTGGTCTTTCCTACTATTGCCGTAATTTTTCCTTTTCCAGAAGGCCATACAGCTGTAATCACACAGCACACAACTCTCAGTATACACAGTTGTGTAGAATGTACAACCCTAAGAATGTAAATAGATATAGTTGTACATAGTATATAACTCTAAGGCTATATAACCTTGTAGACTGGCTGCTTTCACGTAGTAATATACATATCTTCTTTTTACTCAGTAGCTCATTTCTTTTAATTGCTGAATAATACTCCATTGTATGTATAGTTACTCAACTAACTGATGAATGTCTTGGTTGCTTCCAATCTTTGGCAACTATAAAACTACTATAAACATGCATGTGTAGGTTTGGTGTGAGCATAAGTTTTCAAATCATTGGGTAAATATCTAAGACTGTGATTACTGAGATAAGTTCTCTTTTTTCATCAAAACATTTTCTGCTGCAAAGTCAAAATTTTCTTTCACAAACACTGAAAACCTAAGGTCAAGAGAATTTGAGGCACTGTGGCCGAATTGGTTAATGGTTACCGTCATCCGCAGATGACCTCTTATAACCTCTAAGATCTGAGTTCTGCTGCATAGCAGGGTAACTCGAGGTAATGATATGGCACTGAATAAAAACAGGCCAGAAGAAATGTGTTTAATTATTTCCACCATGAAAAACTGATAAGTGTTTAAGAAGAGGCATATGTTTGCTTTTCACTTGAAAACTGCATAATTTACATTGTATGGAAACATCACAGTGCGCAGTTCTTTTTTTCTCCTTTTCTCCTTCCTTCCTTCCTTCCTTTTCTCTTGATGAAACTGGGATGTTGATCATGCTAAGAATATATATAGTTCTCACATGTCAAATCAAAAAATAATCTAAAAATGGCATTTTAACATACAGAGATGCTTTAAAATGGGCCCAAACCCTCTTTGTAGCACAGGCCTCTGAGACATCTCCTAAAAGGCAGCTCCCAGAATGGCCCCTAAGGCCACTTCTGCCCCGGCTCCTGTAGACCGGATCCACTGGGCCTGTGTGGCCCAGAGAGAACTGCAGGGCGATAGGGCGATGGGCGCAGGTCCCAGTTTCCCCTCCTCTCAGCCCTTCTGCCTTCTTTTCCCTTCAGCCTCCCAAGCGGCCTCCTTGATGACTGTCCTGTCCTCTTTTCCGGCCACCTGCTCCCTACAGGAGCTGCAGGCCCTCAGGACAAAGGGGCTGCCGGATCCTGGGGCAGCTCTGCCTCTGGTTGCAGCAGGTGGAGGCTGAGCCAGCTGGGGCCCTGGGGTCAGAAATCAAAGCAACTGACAGGCAGGCAGGCGCCCCTCGGAGCCAGGAAGATGTATGTGGGACCAGCTGGAGAGCTGCCGCCTGAACTGGACGCCCGAAGGAGGTTCTGCATGGGGATGTCAGTGGGACAGTCAGGAGCGGGGCCGGAGCCGAGGTGTGCAGTGCTGCAGTAGCTCAGAGGGGATTCCCGAGCCACTGTCCTGAGTGAGCGTAGCCGGAGAGCCTGCCCTGTGGGCTTCCTGACCTCCTACCGTGGGACACTGGAGTGAGTCTGGGCTTAGTGGATGTCCTCTATTCTTGCCACCCCTGTCACTGATATTGTAAATAAGCACGAGAGCAGGGACCTCAAAGGCCAGGCTGCACTCAGCTACTGCTTCCTAGATTCCAAGGGCTGGGACTAACCCCAGGGGTCACACAGCCCAGCCAACTCCTGTGTGGCTTGTGTCTCGGGCACGGAGTGAATCCTGTGCCTTGGGTCACAGGTACTGTGCTGGGAGCCGCTGCTAGTGATGTGATGAGGCACCCAGGTCAACGCGGAGAGGGCCAGGGCTGTGCAGGAGACAGGGCTGATGGATTCGCCTCCCCTCCGCTTGGAACCCTGGCTTTGTGACTGGCATTGTGAACGTGAAAGGCTCCTGTTTGCGGGAAAGGTGGGAGGCAGCGTGCATCTCACTCCCACTCTGGGCTCCTGGCCTGGCTGCTCTGAGCAGCACGGTCTGGAGTTGGAGGCTGGCAGCAGTTTTCCCTGGGAAGGAAAAGCCAGCTCAGGCCGACTCTTGAGAGGAATGTGTGCCTCCCGACCTTTCCTTTTGGAAGGCTTGGTCGCCCATCCCATAGTAGCTGTCCCCACCTGACCTTAACGGACTGCTGTCAGCTGCTGGGGGCCCAAATGTGGGCAGCCTGGTGGGTTCTGGGGGTGGCTTTTGTGAAGTGGAGTTTGGGCTCCAAAAGAGAGCCTCATACGGGAAACAAATGGTCCGGTGCCCAGTTTCTCTTTCTGTGGGACTGGGGGGTGGGGGAGGTGGGGGAAGAGGGCGAAAGCGCTGGAGTAGGTCGGAGCCTTTGATACTTTCTCGGACAAACGCCCTTTTTATTGAAGGGCTCAGATCTTGGGCGAGGCTGACAGCAGGTTCAAGTGGGAGAGATGAACCCCTCAAATCAATTAAGTTAAACCACTTTCCACTCCAGATTTTAAACCATTCAGAAAAGCCATGTGGGTGATGGAAAATGAAAGTTTCTCCGTTTCTTCATTGCTAGAGTTCCCCACCCAAAACAGCTTAAGAGGAGGTTAATTATGGTAACATGTTAAAGGAGCCTCAACCTTCTCAGTCGTCTCCTGCAGAAGCTGACGGGAGCGTAATAGGATTTTAATCCAGAGAGGCTTTGGAGCGCTCCAGGTCTATTCTCCCGTTAGCCTCTCCTGATGATCTCAAATCCTTCTTCAGCCCAACATGAAAGAGCGTTAATATCGGCCATCGATCCAGCTGCTAATCCTTTTACCGTCCCTTTTGAGTGCTCTGCATGACACTGCATTTCGCGGGGGTAGAAGATACCTACACGGAGACAGACCGCAGCCGGACAGAAAGGCTGCGGTACACGGCGGTCTGGGGCAGCGTTTGAGAAATGGATCTCTTTGGAGTTCTTTTCCAAGAGTGAAAGGGGACATTTATTAGATTTTGTTCGCGTTGCAGTTCTTCTGAAAGTCTCGGTGTAGAGGCAAAGTGAGCCCAGGTTGCTGGGACAACTGTTTCTTTCTTGCAGAACAAAAGGGCTTTCTTGCTATTTCTATCAACCGTCTGTTCATCCTCTCATCCCTCTATCTATCTATCTAAATAGTGTATTAATGAATGTCTATCTGTCCATGTGTCTGTGTGTCTGTCGGTCCGTCCACCCACCCACCCATCCATCCATCCTGCGAGCACTTATTACTATTCTTGGTGAGAAGACCGAAGTGACCTCCTTAAGCTACTCCTTCCCTCTTCCTGCCTCTTACCCCACCCCGCCCCCTTGCGCTTTCTCTTTTCTGCTTTAATTTTGCTGCTCTGGACAGATTGCTATGGAAGACGGACACTTCAGATCACCTGGGTTGAGGAAGGGAAGGGCAGGACTCCTGGGGTTGTTTCTGCAACACCCCTGGGGAAATGGCACACTCACGCGTATGTGTGTGCCTGAACGTGTTCAAGAAGAGCAGCGTTTTCAGAAGAGCCGAGGATCCCAAACAGTCTTTCTTCAGCCCTGCTCAGGGCTGAAGGGCACAACAGATGGTGGGGTCCAGCCCTCCCCACCCTGCCCGCTGTGCCCCCTTTTCCCCTCCCCCCTCTCCGACTGTCTATCTGGCCCACTTCCCATTGGCCGCCCCTCGTCAGCGCTACGCTTCCTCCCTTGTGCTTTGCTTTGGGATGTGTGTGGTCCGCGGTTGGCAGGAGACCAGTGTCTGACAGCCTCCTTCAACCGTGCAGGATCTGCTGATGTCACCCCAAGTCCTGCCACCTGGGGAGGTGGCTTCTAGTCCCACAGACTCACCCCAC